TTATCAGGGGGCAGGTTAACCCCGGGTCACTAAGTGGGTCTGGATTCAACCTGTTATCTCCACAAGACAGAAAGGCTGGGGTACACAAAGGTCACTAGAAATGTGTGTGCACTGATGGACGGCCTGTGAGGATACGGCGAGCAAAAGCAGCCTGCTACACAGCCAACAGAGAGGCCTCAAGACAACCAACCTGCTGATGCCTTGACCTCAGACTTCCAGCCTCCCAAACAAAGAGAAGGTTCCGCTGTTTAGGCCACCGGTCTCTGGCATTCTGTTCTGTCTATAGGTTGGTTTATAACTTACAGATCACATGGCCAAAGCAGCCTCTGCAGAGCTCTGAAGTCTATGCATTCACAAAGCACCCCAGCCTGCACACTTACACGCACGCACACACGCACGCACGCACGCACGCACACAGGTGTTCGCACAGAAGCACGGTTCATGGGTCGTGGCAATCACAATAACAAAGTCTAACTGAGAGCTTCAGCTTTGGCGTACACTTCAGCTCCCTTGGGACAGCCTCCTGGTGGCCCTGCTGCCACACAGCATGGTTGCTGCAGCCCCCATCTGACCCCTGAGGACAAGGCTGGCCAAGACAGCTTAAAAAGACACTAGAAGGTCCCAGGACACTCTGTCATGATGCAGCAATTTATTGTATTTAAATCTTTTACCAAATTTATTGCATTTAAATCTTTTACCAAACTTAGGTCTCACCCCGTACTTACGTTATCTCTGAGAACACCTCCCCCTGACCCCCAGAAGACATTCAGGAGCTCAGTTATGCCAGAGATCCCAGAGCATCTCATTTCCTGTGGATCCACCAAACACCCTCACAGCAAATGAGGATGAAAATCAGCCTTCTAGCACCAGAGTTTTTCTGAGTGTTCTGACCAACTCTGGGGAAACCAGCACTCTAGTGGTTAACACAGTGCCCATAATAAGAACAAGACTTATAATACACTTGGTTCTTGTGAATGGTACCTCAGACATATCCCTCTGGCAGAGGGTTTTCTGCTGTGACTCATTCTCCAGCCATCGCTGAGTCGCTGACTGCTGTGGAAAGCCGGGCTCTAGTGCTGAATACAGTCCTGTTGATGTTAGCACTCGTTAAGGTTTCCGTCAAATTGCTGGGTGAGTGGTGTAATGAGGAACAGTGGGGTGATCACCAAGATGCAGAGGGGTCAGTCAGAGAAGGAAAATACCCAAACACCATCACTCCCTGAATACCGGCCTCCTGGCCAGGTGTCTCCAGAGGACTGCAGAGGCGTGCACTTGCTTGCCCTGGGCAGCCCGGGGATTAGCCTGCACCACACACACACACACACACACACACACACACACACACACACACACACACACACGCTTTCCTTGCTGAGCCCAACCCTACCAGACTTCGGAGGAGCATTGAGATACCGAACAGCTTCATCTCAGAGAACGGCCCAAATCAATCCCAAGTGAGGGTCACGCTGTGGAATGTTGTAATATTTTATACATACTGTACTCACGCTAAGTCACTTAAAAGTTATTCTTGTCTAAAATACTTGTTTCTTAAAAAGGGAAACCAGAAGAGCTTAGTTTCCAATGATCACCAAGGCTTCACCTGTGCCCTTTTGGCTCAGTCCGGTGGTTATTTACCCCAGCCTCCCTCCCTATGAGGACTTTGCAGGCTCCACTCTTCATACCAAAGCGGGGAAATGTAGATGCATGTTCGTTCATTGGCTAGAAGAGCTAACGAGAGACGTCGAAGACACTGGGTCCACACGCACGCCTGCGTTAGACCAGACGCATCACCTGTGCAGAGCCACGCAAACAGGAAATCCCCATCTTAACAGCCAGGCTACTGCAGGGGGAAAGGAGTAATTTCCAAAACTACTTCAACGGAAGTACGGTCCCAGAGACCACGGGAAACAAACAGGGACACATGCGGAATAAAAGGCGAAAGTGAGAGCCAGCCAGCCACCAGTCAGGGGAGACCCAGGTCAGCTGTGCGCACGGTGCAGACAGGCTCAAAGCCAAGCATTCCTAGCAAAGAAGAGGTGCTGCAGCCTGACTCCTCGAGGCCCTGCAGAGGTGTGGCTCTGCTGGGAGCTGATGGACCTGGGCGCTCTCCTTAGGTTGCTCACTGCCAGTAGCGCTCTCCTGGAGAGAGAACAGCAGGTCAGCCTGACCACAAACAGGGCTGCTAAAAACTCGGAGATGAAAACGAACCTTTCTTCCTACAAGGTGAGTACTTCGGGGACTCTGTCACAGTAACAGAAAGCTTAGAGAGACGCATCTAACAATGAAAACCCTAAGGGTCATTTTTTGCCAATTCCAAGTCTGCATGTACCTGGTGAATCTATAGCTTCAAGTACATGCAAAGCAAAGGCTGGCAGAACAGAAGGCGAATAAGCAAAACTCCAATCATGGCTGGGAGTCTGCACACGCTTCTCTCCACGTGGGACCCCACCTCCTGTCCACCCTCAGGCGGACGTTGCCATCGCTAGCCGCACGCACTGGTTCTCAGGTCTGCGGACTCTCGCGGAATGCCACCACACCTGTCTGGGTCTCCTGCTGGCAGGTGGCAGGCTGTGAGACACAGCCACACAGGTGTACCTCCACAGGACAGCTCTACCCACATCTCCATGCATCTGTTCCGCTGCGTCTGTTCTCTGGAGACCCCCGATCCAAGGTGCAGATGATCAAGTTCTCTTTAGTCTTGCACACTGCCCTGTGTTTACTGCCTTCTGTTCACACCAGCACCACAGCTGGTTCACACCTGTGTTGTTCTGCCAGAGGCCTTGGGGCCGATCACTCCCTCTGCTTGGCTCTTCCGCATCCCTCAGACCTCAGCTGAAAAGTCACCTTCTCACACACTTTATCCGTGGTAAAAGTCACATGTAACTACTATATTCTGAAATAGCATCTGACGCGCATGAAGATGCACATTTTGCTCCGTGCTTCTGTGAGTGGGCTTTGCTGCCGGAAGGAATGCATGTGCATGTGTTGAGCGAGCTAGTGGATGTGCGGTGCAAAGTCTCACACACTCGGATGCAGAAGGCAGCAAAGACCGGGCAGCGACAAGAATCCCTTCTTTCGCCGGGCATTGGTGGCGCACGCCTTTAATCCCAGCACTCAGGAGGCAGAGCCAGGGGGATCTCTGTGAGTTCGAGGCCAGCCTGGGCTACCAAGTGAGTTCCAAGAAAGGCACAAATCTACATAGAGAAACCCTGTCTCGAAAAACCAAAAAAAAAAAAAAAAAAGAATCCCTTCTTTCTAAACTGCATCCCTGTGAGTGTGTGCTGTCTCCACGTCCATCCCAGCATGCAGCAGTGGTGGCACCTTCCCAGGCTCTGATCCCAGCCACTGAGCACTGCCCATTGCGTCCTACTGGGGCCTGGTCTGTCACATCCTTGATGGTCCCTGAGTGCAAGGCGCTCTGAAGGAAGGTTACAAGAGGACTAGAAGATTGTCCTGTGCAATTGCTCCCTCAGAATCCTTAAGGAAGTGGATCCAGGATCTAAACCTCAGGCACCGAGGTTCCTTATGTTGTAGCATCTGACAATAACCTACGCACATCCTCCTGAATGCCCCACGTGCCCATGCTGGAACGTGACTTTTCAGCCAGGCAGACAGTCCCACTATTAGTCCCTGATGGTGGCACTAGCCACATGCCCACGCTCCCTTGGCCCTGCCATGGATGATGCTAAAAATAAAATAAAGCTCGGTAAGTCTCAGGATCAGTTCTGGACTGCTGGTGGGAGGCAGAGGGGGCAAAGTCCCTCTTCCCAATTCAAGGCCTAGCTGGAGGTTAATACATAATGGGCCGGTATGTACCAGCACACCCGGGCCCGACCTCTGACCTCCTCTCCACTAGAGCCGCTTTCCTGGGTCTGGGAGCATCCCTGCCACTGCCCCATGTCAAGACCCAACCTTGCTCTCAGTAAGGAATCATTTCTACCAAACCACAGGCTCGACCATCTGTACCTGTGGGTTCCAATTCCGGGGGAAACAAACACACTTCCTGGCTGAGGTCGGCTCCCCTCTGCCCAAATTTCCCTGTGTAATGTCCCTAGCGTGCTCTAGTGACTGCCCCTGAGACATTAATCTATAATTATAGCAAAGCCTCGTGGCTTGACTTAATTGGCACCCGGGAGGCCATGGCCCTATGTCCACGGGAAGGGAACGTGGACAGGACTGTTCTGCTGTCACCGTGTTCCTGGCACTGAGAAAGAACGCTTGCATGCTCCTCCCCGAGACAAGCTCGACCCTCCCCTGCCACATGTCTACAAACTCTGCCCCGACTTTCTGTAGCTGATGGGCTCTACTTTGCTAGGTCCCCCAAGCCTGTCACAGGATGATCTCTGCGGGCCCTGGTCAGAGGGAGGCACGGCAGGGACACACTCACAGTCTCTGGTAAAGGTGCCGAGTGTCGGTGAGTTCAAGCGCTTCAGCCTGTTGCTGGCTGGCCCTCACCCAACTGCCACCTGCCGACGGTGCCTGTAGCTGCCAGGTCGGGGTGTCCCGGCAGGACTCTGCCAACACACTGGCTGGGTCATCTCGAGCCGCGGTCTTCCATCTGGGGCGTCGGGAAGCACTGTCGGGCAAGGCGAATGCATGTTCCACTTTCCCGTCACTAACAGTGGCCCTCAGCAGCCCGGACTGACTGAGGTGGACGGACGGTCGGCAGGAGACAAGGGTGACCTCCTGTGTTACAGGATAGCTCTTCCCCCAGGCCCAATGCTGCAGGGAGTCCGGAGAGGGCATGAGGCTTAGTAAACAGATGGAAGCTGTCTAGAACGCTCAGCCGGATCCCATCTGCCCTCAGTACAGGGGGTTCAGCCAGATACATACATGGTTTATGCCCCAGGGTGACCAATGCCCCGGCCAGACCCAGAGTCCCACAGTAAACAGGAAAGCAGGCTAGTGTTCACTCGCTTTGAAATTCTGGAATTGGAAGGGAGGGAATGGATTCTGGAATTGGAATGGATGGAGTGTGCTCTTATATGGTTATTCAGCATCGTGGGCCAGGGAGAAGATTCTGAGCTGTTGTGAAGGAGAAAGGGGACAGAGATGTTCCCTATAGACTGATGACTTTAGAGGGATGTCTCTCCTGGCCCTTGAATCAGAGGCGGGCCTCCTAAAATAAACAAACAGAAGCTGAACAGATGAAGGCTCTGAACTGCCACCCACAAGAGGCAACAGAGCCACAAGCAAACACGTGGGAAGAGAACAATCTTGTAGCCTGAGAAAAATAGTGTTCTGTGCAGCAAAGGGGAGCGGCCACACTTTCGGGAGCCTGTGGGCCCCTAAAGTGTAATGTGGGGGTGTCTCAGTTTCTCCTCCTGTGATAAGACACCAAGGAGAACAACTGAAGGGACTCAGAGATCAGGTACCGTCCAACCCGGGGTGGGGGTGGGGTGGGAGGCAGTCAAGGTGCTGGCGGCTTGAAACAGCTGCTCACGCCACGTCCACCCTGGACACAGACAAGGATGCACACAAGCTGCTGCTCAGCTCCCTTCCTCCCTTGCACAGATCAGGATCCGAGCAGAGAATGGCGCCACCCACAGTGGGCAGGGCTTCCTACCTCAGCTAACAATCAGATAAAGAAACCGGGTGGTCACAAAGTACCACCTTAAGCACACCTTCTTCAAACACATCAGGTCTACCAATACTGAGAAACAAATAATTCTAAGGAACACAGGTATAGCATAATTGCAGCGTGTCAACATACTTAGGAAGAGCATTAAAGTCAGATCCTGTCCTCGACTCTAGAAACATAACATTAATACCAGGTACCTCCTAAAAACCAAATGCACAACACGGAAGAAAACGAAGTCCCTGCACTCTTGCCTTCCATGCTGGACTCTGAGGATGAATTCCTGGACCAGGTGCTCCAAGTGGACAGTTAACACTGACCATCCCAGGAGGCACGGAGCAGGACAGCGGAGGGACTGGAGGTGGACGTGACAGAGGCAAATGCTTGGGAAAGAATGAATGGTGCCAGTTCTGCTCCACGGACACATTCCCCAGGCCTCAGTGTCCTCACAGGAAACGGGTGTCCCAGGGGTCCTGGGGGCTAGACACAGGCCAGGCCAGAGCAGACAGGCAGCAAGGGGTGGTAAGAACACGGACTCTGAAATAAGACAATGGGGGTTCATAGCTAACGCTCCCCCCCCAGACACACACACACACACACACACACACACACACACACACACACACACACACACACACTACTTGGCTGTGCAATACCAGACAAGTGACTCCAGCTCCAGAGGCCTGGACTACCACACCCAGAGAACTGGGAAGAGCTCAGAGAGCATGCTGGGAGGCAGGAAACAAAAAGGGTCAGTGTCTAAGAGAAAGGAAAAATAACTGAACGTTGAAGCCTTTCTTGCCTCAAGGTTCTTCCCTGATCATGGAAACAAAATTGAGCAACAGCTGCGGAAAGACCGGAATCCAGCTGTGAGAGACCTTTCACCAGCGCCCGCTCTGCCAAGGGTGGGCGCACCCCGCTCACTTATTCGGCACCGATCCCCGTGTTGGGGAAGTGAGTCCCAGAGCTGGGCTCTACAAGTGGCTGCTGTTATCCAAGCCCCTGCAGAAGCTGCTGCTGAGAAAGGGAGACGAGGTCCCTGTCACACCCAAAGAGCTGACTTCTTAACTGACCACAGGTAGGACATCGCTCAGATGAAATACCCGAGGGCACCAACGGAAAAAGCGAGAGGTTTATTTTGGCCCGTGGGTTCAGAGGGTCAGTTCACGGGGCATCATGGGGAAGGGCACAGGGAAGGAGCTGCTCACCGTATGGAAGCCAGGAAGGGTGGGAGGAAGGGATGAGTGTGTGAATACACCAGGAGACAGGGACAAAGTTCATCTTTTCAGGGTACATCCTCATTGACCGATTTCCTCCAACTAGCCTCCATCTCAAAACAAACAAACAAATAAAACACTGAGTGCTGAATTCTCAATAACAACCAAGGCATCAACACATGTGCTTTTGGGGATTTTTAATCTAAAATATAAATTCCTGCCCGACAGTGGGCAAGCTGGGGTCCCCAGAGCCCACTGTTAGGGGCAACTGGACTCGGTAGAGACTCATGCGACCACACTACCGCCCCCCCTCTAACCTTCAGACCTAAGGTGGCCGGCCTTCTTATCCACCAGAAAAGGCTGACGCGTCCTCCGAGGGTGGCTCACTCTGCTGACTGGATGGAGGAAGGGGAAGAGGGGATGAGTGGGCAAGGCTTGGCATCTCCATCCTGAGGGTCCTGCACTGACGGCAGTCTCGGCTGCTTTCCAGAGACGCTCCTTCCTGCTTTTGACCCCAGGTCTTACTCTGCAGCGCAGGACGGCCTTTACCTCGCTGTCCTTCCCGCCTTCTGCCAGGGAGCTAAGATTATGCGCACTCACCACCATGCCTGGCTTGGCACTCTTGATCCCCTCAGCACAGACTCACGGAGGCCAGTGTCCGCAGCAGACACTGGCTGCCAGAGGGTGCTCTACCGATGTGGAGCAGAAGGGCCCAGGAGGCAGGTCACCACTGCAGAGCACGCAGAGGCCTTCGGATGAAGGACAGCCAGGAGGCAGGACCTGAACCACAGCTACCGCCTTATCGCAGGACGAGAGTGAGGTGGCGGCGTAAGCCAAAAATTCAGTACTTACACAAACACCTGGGCCAACCCAGACATCCGCGGGGCAGATGCCAGCGCAGGGCGGTCTGTGCACTGTGCTATTTGCTGGCGTGCCAACACGGGGCCAGGGGTACCATTCACGGAGGGAAGTGGGGGCAGAGGGGCGGGGGGG